CCAGCATCCATAATTTGGCCGGTCCGGTCCATACTAAAAGCTGCCTTTGAACAAATCATTGTCTCATTCCTTAACCAATTAAACAATGCCTTCTTTACCCCCCAGGGCACATCCAAGTTGGCGGAACAATCACATTGGGGGGCTCTGGAACCAAATGTGGAGAGTTCGATTCCTGGTTGGAGCAGCCAAGTGATGTAATAACCAGAGGAAGGGTTGGAGCAGCTTGGTGATGTAATAACCATGGAGGAGGGTCCCTTTGGGGAAGGAGTAAAAGCCATGTGGGAACCTGGGAATCAATAAGGGCACAACCTGCGATTTACCTCCACTAGTCACTGAGGGGCCGGGGGCTAGAGGTCCAGGATTTAGTCCGGCTAAGCTGGGACACCTGGGTTATCAAAAAAAAAAAAAAAAAAAAACAATGCCTTCTTTAAATTGACTATGACATCACTATGACGTTTTCTCAAGTCAACTATAATGCAATCACCAGTGGAGAATATATTTGTTATATACCAACCTCATTACGTAGCACTGGAGATGGTAACTGGGCTGGGCCTTGTTAGGAGCCCACCAACTTCAATGGCTTAGGTTGCCCAATATTTGAAAGCCCAAATAGTCAGCTAGCGAGAGTTCAAGCCCACCTGTAGTCTTTGGTCAAGAAAGTTTTGACTAGGCCCGTTTGTCAAGGCCCAGTTTGGCTCGTTGGTCCAAGTAGGTTGAAACCAACTAATTGTTGAGTCGCATAAGATAAGAAGACTATCTTTCCTCTTTACAATGTGAATACACAAAATGTAGTACTAAATTATTATCAGGTTACAACTAGAGATCTTAAACATAAATTCCAATGCCGTAGAATATCTACCCACACAAAATAGAGAAAACGATAATAATCCAACATTATACTGTCATAATATTGCACAAATTCTAATATTAGGACATAGCTTAAAACAAGGAATTTTGCACATGATTTAAATTTTTTTTACATAGAGCGTAAAATGGATTAATAGACTGTATTAAAGGAAGGAAAAATAAGAAGCTAAAAATTTTATCCATTGTACTGCATACTAAAACCACAATACTTGAGTGAGAATAGCATTCAAGATTTAGTGCGTTGTCAAGACAACGATTAATCAAGATATAGATGAGGCAAGAAAATCACATCCATCAGAGGATACAAAGGGAAATCCATCAGCAACCATAGAAGGGTAAAGCTCCTTCTCCAAGTGATGCTTAAATCCATTAAGCAAATTTGAGCTTCCAACATCATCACATGAGCTCGAGAAAGAAGAATTAAAATGTTTGGAAAATTTCGTGCACCTTATTCAACTCTTGTTTCAGCCTTGGGACTTCCGCTTGTAGCCTTGCATTGTCTTCCATCACATTTTCAAGTCTTAGCTTCAAGGCTTTGTGAGTGACCTTGAGGCATTGATTCTTGTTACGAGCTCGTCTATTCTGATACCATGTTGCAACTCGAGTCGAGGGTAGACCAAGTTCTTGTGCAAGTTGGGACTTTCGTTCTGGATTGAGCTTGTTATTTAAGTTGAAGCTAATTTCTAAAAGCCTCACTTGCTCTTGAGTGAGTCTCTTTTTGTGTTTTAGTTGGTGCTTTCGTGTATGAGATTGGAAGTTATCCATACAAGTTTAATATGCTAAGATGCCACAATTCTGCAACTTATAAATTTCAACATTTGAGTTTATGTTTCCCTACTATATAAAAAAGGGGAATGTGAGGGCACTGTAGAAAGCAACAGTGTCTTGATTCATCTTTACTGTAACATTTTTTTTGTTTTTTTTTTCAATTTGGGGGCAAAAAACGACGCCGTTTGCTTGATATATATTTTATTTTATTGTACACTACCTCTAAATTTACTGCAACACGCAATTTTCATTCCTCCCCACTCCGATATAGATATATATAGTAGGGATATAAGAAAAATATCACTTTTATATTTAAAAAAAAGATAGAGATAAAATGCTACAGAAATTTTTTTTATAACATATTACTTGTAAGTAAAAATTTGAAGAGAAAAGAATTAAAGAGAATTATAAAATGAAAAAAAAAATTATAACTAAAACTACACAGCAAAAAAAAAAGAAAAAAAAAAGGTAATCTCTTCGTGTACGGAGACTAGACACTGTCTCCGTGCACGGAGGGGAAAAAAATTATTGTTGGGGCCTCCGTGCACGGAGGCATGTGTCTCCATGCACGGAGATACTGTCTCCGTGCATGGAGACAAAATTTAGAGAAATAATTTTTTTTTACTTATGTTTTTGTGTTCATTTTCAAGCTCATTACGGGATATCAAACGAAGTCGAAATATTACATTCTTAATATCGTTTTGAAGTACTCGCG